TGAAATGTATTTATACAAAATTATATAATTTAACTCTATAATGTAACATAAATCCTAAATTTATTTAATTTCAAATAATATGCATAAAGTAAAATAGATAAAATGTAACATGCTGAATATTATTCATTCAAAACTTTAAAATAATCAGCTTTTCAATTTCACCTAAAATAGACAATAGTTAATAATAATTGTTTATGATTATATATTTTATTAATTACATTGAACAAATATACTAAAAAATTATAATAAATAATGTAAATCATTGTTTTAAATTTTCTTTTTTTACTATTATCAAAGTTTAATTTATCTTTTCTTTTTTTAGGTTGAAGAAAATATAATTTAAATAGTTATTAATATTTCAAATTGTTGGACAGTCATGAAAATGGTGCTGTCACAAAGACAACGTGAAGAATTGTAAGCTCTTTATTAAAAATTTATGCACATTCAATTCAATTTAATTATAATAATAATAATATTAAGTATGAAAATATTTATAATGTTTAACATATTTTTTTTTATTTTATTTTAGTTGTAATATTTCTTTTATAGCACTCTAGATTATAAAAGTTTTTATATATTTATTCATTACAATGTTAACAGTCATTGTGTATTGGGGATGGGGGAAATAGGAGTTTTGTTGAATTCTGCAACCCTCGTGTATATCTAGCCTGTGATATGTTTGTTTGTATAATGTTAACTTATTATTAGGCAGTTTTATTCAAAGGTTATTTATCATCTTAGGTCTGAATTACTTTTATAGTATTAAATGTCTTAAACTGAATATTATTATTATTTTTTAGAAATAAAGCAATTGCTGATTATCTTAGTAGCAATAGTTATCACAATGCCCTAGAAGGATTAAAAAAAGATGCAGATATGCCTGGTGAAGTAGAAAATAAATATGGTGGTTTATTAGAGAAAAAATGGACATCTGTAATTAGACTGCAAAAAAAGGTGGTGGTTAACACTCCAAATAGTATTTTAAATATGCATTATATTACTTTTATAAATATGTGATTATCCTATTGATATATAGGTAAGTGAGCTTGAATCCAAACTTTCTGAGTATGAAAAAGAAATAAATTCTGGAGCTCCAAAAAGAGCATTGCGTTCTCCAAGTGACTGGATACCAAGAGCTCCTGAAACACACTGTTTAACTGGTCATAGAGAGACTGTTATCAAAGTTATATTTCATCCTGTTTTTAATATTCTCGTATCTGCAAGTGAAGATGCTACAATAAAAAGTTGGGATTATGAGACTGGCGAGTATGAGAGAACTTTAAAAGGTCATACAGAAGCTATTCAAGATATTGCATTTGATGAAAGTGGCAAACTATTAGGTTGTTTAATATTAAAAGAAATGATGTTAATATGTTTTTATTTTATTTTAAATATATTTTCAGTTTCTTGTAGTGCTGATATGACCATAAAACTGTGGGACTTTAGTCAAACATATGAATGCATCCGTTCAATGCATGGTCATGAACATAGTGTTTCTGGGGTATGTTTTCTTAAAGGAGGAGATTTCATAGTCTCTTCTTCAAGGGATAAAACAATTAAAATGTGGGAAGTAAATACAGGGTATGAACAATAATATATTAATAATTATATATATTTTTTGGTTTTATTTGTGTATTACACCATTTCCAGATACTGTGTTAAAACATTTACTGGTCATCGAGAATGGGTCAGAAAAGTCAAAGTTTCTCCCTGTGGTCAATTTTTAGCTTCATGTTCTAACGACCATACTGTTAAAGTTTGGGTAATTTCTGCAACCCAGTGTAAAGTAAGTTTTAATATTTTTTAAATAATATATAATTTAACTTGAACAATTTTTATAATCATTAAAATAGGCTGATTTACGAGGACATGAACATGTAGTTGAATGTATAGCCTGGGCCCCAGCTGCATCTTCATCAGCAATTAATGAAGGAGCTGGAGTAGATCAGAAAAAAAATGGTTATGAAGGTCCTTTTATTATATCTGGATCTAGAGATAAATCAATTAAGGTATGTAATCAAAATTAGATTAGTCCCCTCTCTCCTCTTAGTTAATGGTACAATAAGGTTATAATTGAGTTAGTTAGTTCTATTAAAAAAATATGAATCTATTTTTCTAATTAGAATTAATGAGCTGCAACATTTGATAAAAATTTGGTACTTGTTCTCTGTTAATTAGTAGTTTAAGAGTGTGCTTAGTTTTTTAATAAATCATTCTAACGAATAGAAGAATGCTAAATTTGAACACAAAGTTAAATTATTGCATACAAATAATAAGTAATAATTCTGTTCGTAGGTGGTGTTTCAAATTCTATTTCTAAGAGTATTTTATAGTTTATTTTTCTTTTTGTAATGCAGTAAGTTGAATTAATTTTTACTTAAAACTTTGCATATATTATTATTTTATATATTTAAAACAAGTAGGATCCACTTTTACATAAATATGTACAGTATGAAGATAGCTTAAAATATAATACATTGTAATCTTAACATTAACAAAAATAGGATTCATTACTTATCAAAATTATGAATATATTAATTTATAATATACAGAATGAAACTTAAAATTTGGAATTTACGTCTACATTGACAGTCCTTGTTTTCTTAACAGTTCATTTGCAAGATAATGTGTTGAAAACTAAAGTCATTATTGAATATCATAGAATATTATTGAGTTAATATTTTGAAAAATTAATTATGTATGATAAATAATTAATTACATTTGAATAGTTTCAAATTCATGTATTATAATAAATATCGTTTTTAAATTTTAACAAAACTTAAAATTATTTATTTTTGGTAAAGTTATGTTAATTATAATGAATTTATAATTTACAAATTTATTGGGTTATTTGAAACATAAAATTACTAAATTTCCTATGAAACCTTAAAATAATATTGCATTATTTTTTATTGTAAAATAATGTATTTGTTCATAATTAATGTTGTAAGTATATCGCAGTGTTAAACTTATTCTACAAAATAATAAGTATTTTTATATTTTATTTTACTAGATGTGGGATGTTGCCTCACGTTCATGTTTATTTACTATGATTGGACATGATAATTGGGTACGTGGTTTAGTTTTTCATCCTGGTGGTAAATATGTTATATCAGCAAGTGATGATAAAACACTTAGAATTTGGGATTTGGCAAATAAACGTAATATGAAAACACTGTTGGCACATGGACACTTTTGTACCACAGTTGGTAAGTTATTTAATCAATTACTTTTTCTCACAATTACTTTTTTTTCTTCTCTTTCTAGATTTCCATAGATCACAACCATTTGTAATAACAGGTAGTGTAGACAAGACAATAAAAGTTTGGGACTGCCGTTAAAATTTTTTGGACTGCCGTTAATATTTTTGTTTGGTTAACAAATTTAAATAATGTTCATTATTTTCTATTAATTTTAAACAGTATCTCCACAATGAAGTTTTAATTTTCTAGTCTATCATAGAAGTGTAGGTAGTTTATTTCCCAAGTTTTATTTGTATAAATATAGCACTGCATTTTTTATTTATAAAGAAATGCTTCATTCTTTGTGTATTGTAGGTATGTGTAATTTTTATTATTTTTCTCATTTCTAGTTTTTAATAAAGTTATAGGTTAAAAATAAAATATTATTTTATTTGAATACTTGCTTTTCGTTTATAACGATATATCATTTTGTTAGAATACTCTTATTTTAATTGAGCATTTTAAATAATAATTATTTTTTGTATAATGCTTAACTTTATAGTTTTAACTAAATTCAGCTTAATAGAAAAAAAAGTTTTTATTATACTTATTTTTATTAATACATTTCTTTTATATTCACAAAATCATTAATATATTGGCATATTAAGTTATTATATTAATATATTAAGAGTCATTGCATTTAAGTTACAAAGTATATTTTATTTCATTCATTAAAAATTTGTTTTCTTTAATTTGTGTTATACCATATTAGAACTATATTAAGTTTATCATTTCATATTTATATTTTGATCAGTGGCAAAACAAACTTGAAATATTTCATTAGCTAGTAACAGGAAAACCTACCCATACACCTAAAACTTTATAAAGGCATTTACTGTAATATTTTTTAACTACTTGTTATATTAAATATTAAATGATTATCCATTATTCGCTGAATACTCTTTAAAAAATTCAGGTAGCTGTTTTTTGGCCCCTTTTACAAAGCAACTGCAAAAAAAATATTTAGGCTATTACATTACCAGAACATGTTTACCAAAACAAGTTCCACTGAACTGTTTCAGTGCCATTAATTGTAGATAATACTTCATAAATGCAATTTATATTTCCTACATTGTTCTCAATATGTGGTTATTTTTGGTAGTTCTGATTTAACAATTTAGTTTTATGCATTAGTAAATAATTAACATATTTTATCTACAATTAGTTAAATTAATGATTTAATAACTATTATTATACTTTGGTTCTATTTTGTCTGCAAATTTTTGACAAATATGTACATAATTTTTTATCTTTTACCTTTGTATACATTTAAGCTTTTTCTTAATCAATTTATAATTTACTATATTAAATTTAAAGTGATTAGATTAGACGTTTTTTTTTTTTTAATACCTATCTTAATAATATAAAACTAGAATAAGACTATTCTTGTGTTTTATTTGTCAGAGAGAATATTTAAATAATGAAAAAATATTAATATTATATTTAAATTTAAAATCACCAAAAAAAAAAAAAATTATTAAAACAAGAAATAAAAATTTACGGATTGATATTTGTTATTATTTTGATAACTTTTACTAAAAGCTATTTTTTTTTTTTTTAATAATGGATTAAGCTATCAAAATACTCAAACCACCAATTTTCAATAGCAATATTGTTTTCCAATATTTCATACTTACAAAACAATATATTTTTCTATGTCAAACATTACAAAAATATTTCTTTTTAATTTAATTTCAATAATTTACCTAAATAGTTAGTAAAACATAGTATTCTGGAATTCAATAAATATGTATTAGCTAAGTTGTTTACAGGTCTTCAGATTTTGTCTATAACATAAATAAATCTTAAATTGTTTTTAAAAAAAAAAACTTATATTGATCAAATAGTAAATTTATAATAAAAAAAAAAAATAAATACATCTTCAAACATTTAAACTTTTATTAAAATTCTTTACTAACTGTGGAATATCTTCTTCTTCTAGATGTTCTGCCTTTAGTACAGCATTCCCTATAGCGATGGTTGTACGTATTGATGCACTATTAATCCAAATCTTTCCATTTGCCCCAATGACAATTTCATAGGGAACCATCAGTCCAAGATGATAAAGTAATTTTGAATTTGATTTCCTTAATCTCAATGCATAATTTAAACTAACATTAAACAAAAAACCATTTTCTAACTGACCAAGAATAATGCTGTTAGCATATTCTACACAACTGATCTCAGATTCCATAAAAGGTGTTGCCACTTTAACCTTAGCTGCTACAACATCTCCTACTTTGATGTCGGGTCTATTTTTTTTGGTAGCATTTGTAAATGCTAAGTATGGAAGAGTAGCTAGTTCAGAAGCTCCAATATCAACTTTATACATTTCAGATGTTTTAGCAGCTACTATACCCACTATGACATCATCCTTAGATGGTGAGTATTTTTTTTTTAAATATTCTATCCAAAAATATTTGTCATCTTTACTTCTTAATATTCCACCGTTACATACGATTATTTTGTTGTTGACACTCTTCAATCCTGGACCAATGGTTTTTTCACTTCTTTTACAAGTATCTCCTTTGAGAACTATATCAGAAACGTCGTAGCCCGGTAATACGACATCATTAAAATCCACCAAAGTCATTGTTAAGAAAAAATATAAATTTTTAAATTAAGTAAAAACGCTTCAAAAACCACGAAATTTAAATGTCTAACTAGTGTTAATAAAAATCGTGTAACACCAAAATACCGAAATCAAAATTCGTTATAATATGATAAAATAGCACTAATCATAGAAAAATAATAAAAACATTGTGGTATACAACTTAAAAACACATCACTCATTATTATATACTCTATGGTTTAGTCACACTATAACATACACAGGGCTTGTTCTGTGGTAACATAGCATATGAAAAAATAAACATAAAACATGTCAAATATTCGTGATATGTTAAGTCACGCCATAGATAAATTAGTAATACTGAATGTTGAACATAAATATAAAAGAAGTACTTGATTTTAGTAAAATATTAGCGTAAATTGTAAATAGATTAGTTATGACCGGCCGCTGTACTGTCTACTGAAAACTGAAATTCATGGATAAATAAACAGTTCCAAACAAATTTTTATCAGTAGTATATTGGTACCAGTTGGTAACCTAACCATGAGAGTTGTAATAATTAAAAAGTATAGAAATTAAAATAAAACTCTGAACTACTGAATATTCTATAGTACGCTTTTGATTCAAAAATTTCAAAATATATTTTCTTGTGCAGTGTGGAGTAACATTTATCAAAAGGGATGATAATAGTTACTTATATATAACCCCACATTCACCGGGGCCTATGCCTATTATTTTTATACAAGCATGGCACTAGAATTTTTTTTTAGGGGGTGCAGAGTGGGTCAAATATTTTTTTTACATGGGCTAAGACTTTTTCAACAAATACTAAGGTTATTTAAATAAAATATAAATTTTTTTTATGTACCTTATGTATGAAAATGTTAGATCACAGACCTTCAACAACTATATTAATAATGATGTACAAAAATGATACCTAATTTCATTATTACATACCTTTGTGATTTTGTGAATGAATAATTATGTTTCTTTTACTTATAAATTTAATTGTGTTTAGTTATATCAGTGGTTCCCAACCTTATTTATTCTACGTCCTCTTTGTAGATTTTCAAAAATATCGCCCCCCCACCAATAAATTGAAAAAATTATAATTTTTTTGTTTACTTTACATTTTACAAATAAACTATATAATATTCGGAAAGACTACTTTTTTTATTGATGATAGTAATTATTAAATATAAATAATTGTAAATAATATAGTATTATAGTGGAATTTTAAATATAATAAAATTTGATAGATAAAAATTTTACTTTGTGATGAGTGCTTGCGCCTCCCCAGCGATGTGTATACGCCCCCAGGTTGGTAACCACTGAGTTATATAAACAGATGAATTTTTTTTACTTTTAATGCAATGATTTGGGATACCTTTGCTTGTTTATTTTCATCCAGTGATTGGTACTCACTACTCAATAAAGGTAGGTTATAATAAATAAATAAAAGATTTTTTTCTTATTTTACAAATTTCAAAACGTATTTTATTAAAATTATAGTAGATATTTTCCTCATTAGATAATACTACTTACTAGTAAGTTAATCCACTGTAAAAAGACTGAAGTCTGAAGATGTTGTTTGTTCAAACTTCATTAATTAAATTATTATAATCTATACTAAATTCAATTTATTTAGTAGTAACAAATATATTAAATAAACTAAATATTGATATTTTTTTAAATAAAAATTTGTAATTACCTACCTAATATTTAATTAGTAAATTTCAAGTTTTTAGTTCAATACATTTTTAAATTGGTATTTGCATAGTATATTATGTATGAAAGAATCTCTTTTGTATTTTTTGTTGAATTTTGGAAGTTAAAATAGTTCATGGATATATATTAAAAAATGGATACTTAAGAAATCATTTCTTTTTATTAATTATTGAGTAACTCTTACACAATATTAGTAAATTAATTAAATAACTAAATATATCAAAAATAATAAGTAAATTAAAAATATTTTTACCTGTATACAACAAACATTAAATTAAGTTAATAATATTCTTCGGTTTTTGTGTATAAAATATTAATATTATTAAATCGGTTTTTATAACAGCAAAAACTTAAAACACATATATTCATAAATACGAAAGTATTTACATAATATTACTAATTTAAAAAAAGTATATTTCATAAATTCTCTGATGTAGTTCTTTTAAAAATAATTTTTTATGACTTTATTTTATTGTACATATTTTTAGTAGGGGCGCTGCCGAAGGGGCTGAATTGTTTTCTGGGGGGCTAGAGCAGTGCCTGTTTTTATACATTTTGTATTTATTTGGTTAGGGAAAATAAAAAAAATTCTAATAAAAATAGATAATTAATGTTGAGTTAACTTCTCAATTAGATATTTTTCTGTTATGACAATTATTAAACTATATAAGAAACCATAGTGAAATATGTTAATTGTTTTATTATAATAGAAAGTACATTATTAAAATGAAAGCATACACTACAAATTTTCTATGACAAGAGTTCTTAAGTCATAAGTAGTACTATACTCTACAAAATATAAAAAATATACTTTATATTTATTCTTAAATTATAAATATATGTATTTTAACATGATTAAATAAGATAAGCTAAAAATGTACTATTTCAATTTTGGCTACCCACTGTCCTATTTTCATAAGTTTAAATCTCAAAACGTAAAAGAAAATCTTGAAGTTAAACACATTATCTATTGGCAAGCAATCACATTATATTATGTATGATAGAAATTAGAAAAATATAGCAATGACATTCTTTTTCGAACACCCTATCTTGGTTATATTTATTTTGGTTTTATGCATGAACGTATAATAAGATATAGCTGGTAAGCATTTAAGTTATCTTATAGAGTTCAATGTTCAATGCTTGTCACTAACATAGACCTTGTATAAGTATAAGAATAAGATTTATGGATTCTGTGCTGTGGTCTCTAACGTCTAACTCATCAATGTTCTGATTGGCTGATGAAAAAAATTTACCAAGTTATTAAGCACGGAAAATAGCACATGATTTATTACCGACATCCAAAGCATGTTCACGTAACGCAGACAGCAGTGACGTCATTTTTAATCATTGAAAACAACAATGTTGTCATCACGCGCTGTTCTCCATACGACAATCAGTAAAATAAGCGTCATGTGCGGCTGGTTTTACAAAGGGCATATGCATATTATGCTGTTTTTCGACCATAATTTTATTATCTTTAGCCATGGTATGGTCTAAGGTCTATGGTTCACTTACTAAAAAAATCAAATGATAAGACTTAAAAATTGATAACATTAAGTAATTGGTGAATCGCAGCTCTTTTCACATATTTCTCAATATAATTATTTAGGCTGAGGAGCCGAATATTTTTATTTTTTTTTGTAAAACTTATTGTACATGATAGATAAACATATTATTTAATTCAAGTTTTAATATATTTTAATAGTATATAAACAAATGTTCAACTATCCAGTTTTATTGTGTTAAAAATTACGCACCGTAATTGTATTTGTGTTTTAAAATCAGTGAGCACAATGACAATTTTAGTTTAAATAAATAATGCAGCAAATAGTTTCTACTGGTAGATTGATTTCTCGTGCTCTATGGAATGGCTTCACAAATTTGGCACCTTCAAATTCTGAACACGTTAATAAGAAACGCGAGCCTTCGTTCCTATATGCTGTATGTGGTTTTCCTAAAGAATCTTCACGTAAACATCCTCCAATTAAAGGAAAATTTGGAGATGATGCTTGGTTTTCTGCTAAAGGAAAAGCAACTGATGTATTAGGTATTTTTATTTTTACTGAAACATTTTATTACCAATCAACAATTTTATTTTACCATTTAAATTACAGTATAAAAATAATATTTTTAAGAATGATATGATTGAAATGAAGTGTATTTTACATTTAACATTTTGTGTTTGCTTCATAACATATTTTGATATATTAAATATTTATATATTTGGTTATTTTTATTTTATTTAATAGGTGTAGCTGATGGCGTTGGAGGTTGGCGCCATTATGGCATCGATCCAGGTGAATTTTCAAGTTTTCTCATGACAACATGTGAAAGACTTGTATCTTTGGGAAAAGTTAAACCAAATAAACCAAATAAATTATTAGCTCAAAGTTATTATGAGTTACTTGAAAATAAACAACCAATTTTAGGTAAGAAAGTTTTTGATCTATAGATATTAAAACATTTTTAACTAGTGCAGTTTTCAATTGAGGACTATGGATTAATTTTATTCATATTTTTTTTATTTATTTCAAGCTAACAATTTTTAAAATCTTATGCATTTTTTGTATTTTGTATGGTAATTATTGTATAACAAAGAATAAAAAATAAACAATTCCAAATTATAAAACAAAACATATGTACTCTTTTAATAGATAATTTAAATAAAAACATTTATTTAATTTTTAAATTTTTTTCTTAAATAAACATTTTATTATAAATATATACATACGATTGTATACTAAGATAAGATATAGACAAAAAAGGTTGATTAAGTCATACATAGCAATATTTGACTTAGTTATAAAAATCTTAAGACATTTTACTTGAATAATAATAAATAAAAATCTTAAATTAACAACTAGCTAATGCTTTATTTCTAACCTTATTCTAAGTATATTAATCAACTGTCCAACGTGACCTTAGTATAAATGAAATATCTGAGTGCCCCTGCATCAATGTCATTAATCTGCATCCAATGATTAGTTTTTCCAAAAAAAAAATTTTACATTTGCCCAGTATTATAATCACTGTTTAAAATAAATATTCTACTATGTAATATTTTTGATTCAAATAAAAGGAATAATAATAAGTAGAATAAATTAGAATATTCAATCTTAACTAAACTTTATAGTAAATTTAAGTATAAATTAAGATTTTTGTGAAAAAACATTCAGTTTCAAATTTTCACTTTATAAAACAATTTGTAATGATTATGAATAAGTGAATAATTTTGGTCATATTTTACATAGCATACCTACTTATGGTTCACACAAAATTTAAAAAAATGTGAACGTCAATAAAAAAAAACATCTATTATATCTATTGCACATTAATAATACATGTCCTTATTTTATTATATATACATATTGCAGGTTTTCTATATTTTTTAAATAAAATAATAATATAATATAATTCAGTTAAAAATATATATTATTTAATATATACTTATAAACGTCTTTTTATAACATTAGTATTGGTGGGTACTTTATAAATTACATTTAGTAATAGACAACAGTTATCTAGTGGTGTACAATATGTATTAAACTCTGAGCAGAGCAAGGAATGTATTGATTTTACACTAATACGTGTTTTTATTTTATGTCTGAAGGAATTTTACATTCTGCAACTTTAATAATGATTTCTGGTAGCAAATTTAATTTAGTTGCTTATTATGGGAGATCAAAATTGAAAATTTTACTAAAGTGTCTAACCTGGTATA